ATTAAACTTTATAACTTAATTTCATGAAATTATCATTCTTCAACAATTATATTTTCTTTTTATGTAAATTTTATATCATTTTATTAGGATTTTAATACAATTTTTCAATTAAACAAATTAGTAAACGAATAACTAACGTCTAAATTTCACCGGCCGAAGAAGACTAAAGTAAATTTTAACAGTTGCTCTTTTCTGTAGTGAAAAAGTAAAAACAATGACAGCGTTGTTATTGCAAGCAATGAGAAGAACTTATGAAAATAGTAACGGATAAATGCATTTCAAGTGTTTTTTGTTGTTTTGAAAGAATATTTAAAAGAAAATTATTAAAAATTAATATTTATTTGATGTAAATGTAATAGAGAGCATTTTTGTTAATTATTTTCTTAAAAAAGGAAATACATTCTCATCTGTTAGGTCTTCGACAGGGGACTAAGGTCTCTGACAATCCGTGACAATCCGTTTCGCCTATATGCTACTCCTAAGACAGTTTTTTTTATAGAACAGTGTCCTGTCAAGACAGTTCTTGTTTTATAGAAGGAAGACAGTTTTCTATAGAAAATGTCTTGCGAAGTTTTCTATAGAAAAGTATCTTGCAAAAGAAAAGCGTATTTCAAAAAAAGTTTTCTATTGAAAATTGTCTAGCGATGACAGTTTTCTTTAGAATTCGATAACAGTATTCTACAGAAAATTTCGTTGCAAGGCCTGTTTTCTATAGAAAAGTATCTTGCGGTGATAGTTTTCTATAGAAAATTGTTTTGTGAAGACAGTTTTCTATAGAAAAGTGTCTTGTTTTCTAAAGAAAATGTCTTACGAAGACAATTTTCCTTAGAAAAGTGTTTTGCCAAGAAATGTTTATATAGAAAACTGTTCTTTCTACAGAAAAATGTGTTGCGATAACAGTTTTCTATAGAAAATATTACGTTGCGAACACAATTATCCTTAAAAAATGTCTTGCCAAGACATTTTTATATAGAAAACTGTTATTCTATAAAAAAGTTAATTTCGATGAAAGTCTTCTATAGAAAATTGCTTGCGAAGACAGTTTTTTATAGAAACAATTTTATGTAGAAAAATGTTCTGCGTAGAAATTTTTCTATAGAAGATTGTATTTAAAAAGTCGGTTTTCTATAGAAAGGTGCTTTGCAAAGACAGTTTTCTATAGAAAATGTCTTACGAAGACAGTTTTCATTAAAAAAGTGTCGACATTTTTATATAGAAAAAAAAAGTCATTCTATAGAAAAGTGTCTTGCGAGGACAATTTTCTATAGAAAAATGACTTTCGAAGACAGTCTTCTATAGAAAAATGACTTTCGAAGACAGTCTTCTATAAAAGGTGAGTTTGCGAAACACTTTTCTATAGAAAAGTATCTTGCGTTTTTTTAAATATTTTTTCCCCTTTTTCAAAAAGGGTTTTCCACAATAGTTTCCTTTGGAAATTTCTTTTCCCCAGTATCATCAAAATAAAGAACGTTTTAATTGTTGTAAAAGAATTTAACCACATATTTATTTTTTAATAGTTTTCTTTCTTTATTATTTTTCTAAGAAAATATTTAACAAATTATTTATTAATATTAAAACTATTCCTGTGGATAATAGGTATTCTTCCACTTCTTTTTGCTCTTGGGTCCTTCAGGTCGCACCTTACGTGATATATACTCCTTTTGATGTTGATCTAATGTACGTTTCCAGGGATTATAGAATAGTTCAAAGTAACGACGTTTTGCCTCCAAAGGACGAGTTTTATTATCAATTTTATACAATTTCTCCCACAAATATATTTCGGGCAATGCCAAATGACGAGGACGATTAGAGACCAAATGTTTAAAGGTTTTTTCTAAAAATTCACGTTTTTCCTCATCTTCATAGTCGACAATGCGTTTATATTTTGAATCCAAAAATGGTTGCAATTCCTCGGCAGAACGTTGTACATTGGGTGCATTTGTATAGTAGCTGACTAAATATTTCAATACTTCATCGTTAAAGCCGATAATTTTACCATTTTCATCGATTTCCTGATAGAGCGCCAATTCTGGTGTACCACGACAATAATTAACACGAGGATTTTCATTGATTTGACGACCGTTCATTAGCAAAGTATTCAGCTGGTATTCATAGAATGACCAAGTCTTGCCATCAGTAATAATAGTTTGAGTGTTCAGGGGGTAGGTGAGTTCGGAGAAGGTATTGAAACCATTATAATTGGCTTGAGCCAGCAGCCAGGCGAAACTAGATTGTATGGCATGAGCATGTAGGGCTTCATTATGGTCATCAGTAGCAGAACTCTGTGGACGTATATGAAAACCGGCACGCGATTGATAGGAAAGTAGACCAAAACCAGCCATATTGCTGGGCCAGTGACCTGTTTGTGGAGAAGGTTGTTAAATTTTAAGTTTTTTAAATTTTATATATTCATTTACCGGCAATATTGGTGCCATGTTGGTAGCCAGTGGTAAAACCTAAACTTCTGGGATCGAATTCTAAGCGTGGTACTTTATTAGCCAGTTCAATATTATTACTTTCTTCTTCTGTCTTCCAGCTGGACAACTGCAAGCGATGCCTCAGGGCCAGCATAGGTTCACTTTTATACTGCATTAAACGATCAACGGGTTCTTTGGCTAAATGCTTTTGCCATTCATGACCTTCTTTGGCTTTAACAATATTTTTGGGAGCCTGTATGCCACCCACAGACCAAAAAGCTTCATGTCTGGGATTGTAATCGATTTCGGCTTCCTGTAAGTGCTGATAATCGGCTGACAGGCCGTTGATTAAAGCACGATTAATTTGCTCAACAATGACTTGAGTCAAAATGCGCTCCCGTTCCTTGGGTTCCAAGTCAGAAGCATCAGGATATTTTTGACTAAAAAAAAAATAATATTAATAAAACTCGTCATACCCCTCTTTATCAATAAAATGTACTTAAAATAATCATGAGCCACTTCCAAAGCCTCCTGAATATCTCCCTTAAGGGTTTCTACATATGAGTTCAATTTCTCATCTGCTTTCAACTCGCTGGGCATGTTTTCGTACAATGTTCTAGTGTAGTGTTGTATGGCTGGCAAACAGTTATAGGGCAAACGTTCATCGTGCAATTGCACTACTTTATAGCCATAGTAGCGAGGCATATTGATTTTTATCATTTTCTCTTCCACTGTAGCAGCTTTTTGCACCTGCTCTTGGAAGGATAAAGCTTCACGTTCTTTACGAGCGGTAAATGAGGGATCCTTGATTTCGGGATATTGTGCTACTTCGAAATATTCATCATTTTCTGTTACAGCCGTTTGGGGAGCAGCAGAAGCTGCCTGGGCATTTTTTGGTGTGGCAATGTAGTTACGACACACTGAAGCACATCGTGCTGTTAAAGATTCGGCACGACGCATTAACAGCATTTTGAGGAGTTGGTTTGATTTTTAATTAATAATTTATTTTATTTAGATTTTCAGCATAGAAAATGAAAAAATACCGCACGCAAAATATCGTTTCGTTAAAAAAAAGGTTATGAAATAACAGCTGTGGCTGCAGCAAGAAGAAGAACTGTCATTATTTCTGCATTCACTTTAGAATGTCTACACACAAGCCGTTATTACACTTCAACGATGAATTTTAGCAATTTTACTGATTCTCAACAAACTTGGAGACGGGATATTTCAGGAAAATCCTGGCAATAAGGATTTGTTTATTTTTCAGCTTAAGACGGCTTGAAAATTTCGCAATATTTTGAATAATTTTCAGGACATTTTCGCTAAGTTTACGGAATTTTACAACATAAATTTAATTTATTTTAATTTAAAGAAGTTTTCTTTTATCTTATGATAAGTTCATTGAAATTTGGCCGGCGTAAAACATTGTTCAAACTTTTATAGAGTTTGTTGAATTTTTGTTCACCCTGGATGGTATTCCAGTTGTAATGGTGTCGAATGTAATATTGTTGCGACTCCCACTGCAGTTGCTGTGTTTACAGGTGAGTTTTAGTAGACTAATAATAATATCACAGGAAAATTGAATTAGATCGACAACTAGTTCTAGAACGCATATTTTAGCCTGTGAAGAAACGTTTCGGGAGACGACGCTCACTCTTTGGAGCGGTTCTTGGACTTGTTCCTAAATCAATGATTTTTGTTCTAATTTGTCAACCTCGGAACTAGTTCTTGGGAATCTTTAGAGAATATATACGCTTTATGTGAAATTCGTTTTTGAAAGATTATATAAGATTATCTTTTAGGAATATAGAAATTTAAAATTCTTTTAAATTCATATCATCACAATTTTAATAGGTGGCTTCCGGTGATGATTTCTAGTCTAGTGGTTGGTTTTCTAGTCTAGTAGATCGGAGATGGTAGGTTCATTTCCCACCTGAAGCACTGGTTTACGAGCGCACAACAGGCCCGATAGAGGTCAAAGTGTATTTCTTCGGATTTGATGTATATACATTACAGTGATCGATTATTTGACATTTTCCAAAAACCGGGTTTTCAATAGTTGACATTTGTAAAAAACCGGTTGATATTATTAAAATTTTTTATTAATTTTTTTTTTCATTAAAACATGGCACGAACAGAATTTAGTCATTTCAAAAGATTATTACTTTAGATCTAGTCATCTGATTTACATTATTTCTTTAATATTGGACACTATTGTGAAACTTAAGGAGACTAGGTATCCTTTCTTATTCTAAAGTTTTATGAGAAAAGTTGATGTAATTTTCATAGACATTCCAACATTTCATTAAAATTTCAGCCTCAAATTTAAAGTTCCAATAAATTTACATTTTAAAAATTAGGAAAATCAAAAAATTTTACAAAAGTTTAATTAGAAAATCAAGCTCTAATTACTGGATCCATCATAAGTTTTTTATTTCGTTGGGCAGCGGTAAAACAGAAAAAAAAACCGGTTTAAAACCCGAGTCTAACACCCGAATATACATCCTGCTTTCAAACTAACTAGCCGGTTTATAGCCAATTTTTAGCCGCTGCTGACATTTTTAGTGTCAGCTGTCGCCGCCGTTAATATATGTCGGCGCAGGTCTCTGGGCAGGACGTAAATAATTTTTATTCAATTTTTCTTATTATTAATTTGCTACATAAATTTATTTGCCATCCCAGTAAATAAACGCGATTTGTGAAAAAATAGAAAGCAAATGAAAACAATCAACGTTTTATAAAATTTATTTGAAAAAATGAAGGCTTTCTAATAAAAATAAATTAATCAAAGAAATAAAAGACAAGTTGAAACGGCAAGAAAAGAAAAAAAACTGAAGTTTCTATTTTTTTCCTTAAAATTTCGTTTTTAATTTTTGGTGTCGCGGGGAGAAAAAAAAAGAGAAGCCATCTAGAAAAAAGGCGCGTTATTTATTTTAATTCTAATAAATCCTTGTAAAAAGACTAGAAGACGATAAAGAGAAATTGCCATTAAGAAAAATATAAAATAAAATCTGGAGATTTTTTATGTTGGTGTAAAAGTTATCAGAAGAAATTAAGTAAACCACGAGGTTTGTATTAAAATTTCTACATACATATAAACATTCATACATATCTACATACTTTTAGTACATATATTTATATACATGCTAAAAAAATAATAGACACCAAAAAAAAAATGTAATATGGCGCTAAATGTTTTGATGCAGTTTTGTTGTTGTTTTTTTTCTCCTCTTTTTCTCATAAGAAAAAGTGCCGTTATTTGTCTTATGGCTTTTGCAAGTTGATTTTACAATAACAACAATTAGAAGGCTGCAGTCTTCCCCTCTCCCTTGTCTGTTGTTTATCATGTATCAAATTTATTTTTGTTTGTTTTTTTTATTTTGCATATTTTGAAAATATATTCTATAGTTTGGGAAAGTACCGTTGTTTAAATTCATTTTTTAAATTCTTTCTATGGCAATTAAAATTATTTTTTAAAGAAAAAAAAAACATACTTTGAACTTTCTTCACAGATAAGGACAACTTCCAAAACTTATTTGATATTGGAAGAGTTAATTTTATATATGGCTTAATCACTGGATATTAAAACAATATTTTCTATATTTTTTAACAAATCCGTATTGCCGAGTTTAAGAACTTCAAATCTGATTAGAAATCATGATTTCTAATAAGAATTATAACTAGATCAAAACTCAATAAATAATAGGGGTTTTCCAATAAACATCTGACCTAATAAAAATACTTTCGGTTGATATAGCTTTCTCTGGGTTGTCAAGTATGACTCGTGTCGTTCCGGAGCGCAGATCCAACTGTCGGAACGATTCTTGCAGCTAACAGTAACCAACCCTCAACTTTGTTTTAACAGTTCGACGGTGTCCCACAGTTTTTTGCATGAAGAAATTATCGCTTAATATGGCTGTCGCTGAGTTGACAATCTTTGACCGGGTAGGAGTCTGATCGTTCCTGAGAGCGTTCCCACGACCGTACTTGTCGGCTTACTTGGTCTTTAAATTGTGTGATTTTTCGAGATATTTTTAAAAATAATAAAACAACTGCTCTGAAATTTGTTAAAAAAGACTATTAAACAGAATCCAATACAGTACCTAAATAGACAATGTTTTTTCCAATTTTTTAAATAAATAATCTACAAATTTTCTATTTTTAATAAATCTTTATAAAATTTTTCTATTTATTACAGTTGTCGTTTGTAAGAGATAGATGGTCATATGAAATAAATTGAAACGATACAAAATGGCATTAAAATTTTAAATCAAGTAAAACAAAAAAAAAAAAAAAGGATTTAAGAATTACTAGACCTCAAGACCTCAAACAGAATCTCCTATTAAAGGTAAAATAAAATGAAAGAAATATATTTCTACTTGGCAAAAAGGCTACATGAAACCAAAGCTCCCAAAATTAAAATGAATACTTTACAATAATGCAACCAATTAGATTGGTATTTTAGTAAAGATAAGAAAGAAATTCAAAATTTTTAAACACAAAAAGAAATATAATTTATTAAAAAAAAAATAAATAGCTGAGACTCGGGCAATTTTATAAACACACCTAGAAGTACGGCTAAAAAATAAATAAAATTAAATTATTACAAACATTTTACTATAAGAAAAAAAACAAAAATAATTTTCAATCAAACCTTTATGGGAAAAAGATTTTTAAGTTGGGAAAAAATCGCAACCTATAAAAAAACACAAAAATATATATTATGTTTGCTAGCAATATGAAAATTTTAACACTAAACACAAACAATAGCTCGCCTAATGCTCAAGGTGGCGGAGGAGCACAGGCCACGCTTAAAGAATTAAATAATAATACAAATGAGGGAAATGTTAGTGGAAGTGGCAGTATGGGTGGTAATAATAGTGGAGGTAGCGCAGGTTCACAACATAAAACTAACAAAAGAGAGCAGAAACATAATAGTAAAACAAAATTCGTACATGGTAACAATAATAAAATGCAACAACATATAACACAGCAGCAGCAACAACAAACACAGAAATACCATCATAACAGCAACAATAATAGTGGCGGAGGAGGTGGTAATGGTGGTGGTGGTAATAAATTGAAAAAACATTACAATAACAACAGTAATAACAACAATAGCACCTCTTCTTTAAATCGTAAAAAGTATTATCAACAACAACAGCAACAACATCACCAACAACAGCAGCAACACTACCAACAGCAACAACAACAGTATATAACGGCCATGCAACAAACTATTAACTCCAATACAACAACTACCACCACAATTACCAACAACAACAGTAATTTAGTTAAAAATCAAAACTTTTCAAATATTGATTTACACCTACAACAACAGCAGCAACAACAACCACAGCAGCAGCAACAACGTAATCTCACCCACACTAGCAGCAATTTAATAAATTACTCAACAAATCCTTTGGAAACCTGCACTTGCTTGTTACAACAAACCAATTGTGATAAATTATCTTTATCAACTTGTTCATCTACATCATCTTCATCAACAGCCTCATCACTGCCCGCAGCAACAGGTGATTATCATCGCCAATCCCAACAGTTGCACACCATATGCTACGATAATCATTTAAAGAACACTTTAAGTTCAACTTCAAAATCTACTTCACAAACAGCAACTTCAACGTCGGCTTGTATTAGTTGTTGGACAAATTTCACTAAATTGCCCCAGCAACAGTCCACAACTTCAACAAATTTCAAAACAACAACATCAAATACTTCCACAAACTTGCAGGAGTTTGTTGCCAGCGCTGTTGCAGCTGCCGTAGCAAGTAAATGTAATTCAAATCAAAGTCTAACAAGATCTACATCAACTTCATCGTCTACAACTCCTTCTACAGCCACCAATACAATAACGTCATCAGCGTCGTTGACATCTTCAGCTTCTAAAAAGAAAACATTTTGGAAAAATTCAAATACTAGTAGTGGAGGTGGTGGTCCTGGAGGTACCGGTATAAGTTGTGGCAGTTTATCATCGTCTGGCTATTCAACGGGGAGTAGCACTACACAATCACCAAAGTTATCCAAAGAAAAGGTAAGAAATTGGAAATTCTTTCTTAATAAATATGTTTTATTTGATTTTTAACTAAAAACTTTAAAAATGTTCCATATTTTTATTTTAGACTCATGTATCGGATAAAAATCTATTAACCAATACCAACAGTAATAGACAATCTTCTGGTAAAATAAGCAGCAACAATAGTAACGCAAATATACAAAAATATTCCACAGCAGTAGCTGCTAACAACAACAATAATACCACTCAACAAAAACAACTTTCAAAACATCAGGTACAAACTGTAGAAAAGCTAGCAATGACCACTTCCCTAACTGGAACAAATGGCTCATCATCAACTACTAAATCTACAGTTTCAAATAAAAGTAATACCTCATTAAACTCATCCAAAACTTCAACAGCATCTCCAAAACAACAGCCGCAGGATAATTTAGAAAAACTTAATGAATCGAAGCAAATGTTAAAATCACTTACTACGAATAGTAGTGGCAGCGGTAGTAATAGCGATACAAATAAAATAACTACATTGGAAAGTGCAACTAGTTTAGGAACAGCATCGACTTCCTCGTCGTCAACAACAACTTCGGTGCCATCATCACCAAATTCTTATACTTTAGATTTTTTACATTCGGTTGGTGTGAAGATGACAGGTGTGGCCTTACGTTCATCAGCTGGTGTACAAGGTAAGTTGGTAGTTTATGGCACATTTTATATTGATAAATATAATTTATGACTTATTAATAATTATTCAAACTTGAGTTCGATTCTCACTTAAAGAAAGTTTTAAGAATTCGTATGAATCTACATATTAAAAATGTATGAAAATTTTTTAAATTATTTTCAAGGATCAACAAATGCCTATGGCAATCAGTCATCCACTAATTCTCCCGTCCATAGCAGTTATCCCTATGCGAGTATGACAACAACAAATCAACGACAACCACGTTATATGTACGGCGGCACAAATAACAACAGTGGTGGTAGTGGCAACCAACAACAACATTATCATCATCATCAGCCCTCCCAATTGACGATTGCTTCGTTTTTACAAAAAGATTTACTAGGAGGAGACAATGTACTGTCAAATGCGAATAACAGTAGTAGTAGTAGTACTAGTACTGGTGGTAATAGTGGAGGAGGGACTTCCTCTAATTTAAGAAATGCTAATAATTATACTGATCAACAGCATTATACACAACAGCCGCCAACACATGCCCGCTATCATCATAACTATTATCCTACACCATATCAGCAGCAAACGTCAAGTTTACAACATACAAGTTATGGAGGTGGTGGAGGATATGCAGGTGAATTAGCTAGATTAGTAACAAATGGTGGTGGTCAGAGAAATGCCGGATATGCTTATACAAATTATCATAATGTAGCCACCACTGAAAGTGGTAGTGGAGTGGTTAAAAATAATTCTTTACCTCAACAGCAATCACGACAGAATTCTTTACAGAATAACATGGGAAACTATACGAATTCACTAAATACCGTACAAACGAATAAAAAATCATCATATGCTTCTAGCACTACATCAACATGTTCGTCTTCGTCTGTCAAATCGATTTCATCGAATTCTTCAAATACTTCCAGTCGTCAGGTAGCGGCTTCAACAGCTCAGGAAACCAGCAATAGTTCGTCAAATTTAAATTTAGCTATTGAGACTTTACCCTCAAAAACATTGGGTGTTGGCAATCAACGTGGCAATCATCGCGGGCATCATCACAATCATCATGGCCATCATCATCACAATCACCATGGCCATCATCACCATCAACATTCTATGATGAATTCACCCAACATGTTGCAACATCAAAACTATTACAACTTGACTTATGTGAGCACAGATGGATCTGTCAGTGGTACCACTTCTAGGGGCTGTAGTCCAGCGCCACAATCTCTGCCGCCCACACCCTTGTCAACAACAAATACTCACAGTCCCAAACCTCTGGACAATAGTCCCGGACCTGTTGCCATGTTAATGAATTTCAATGCCAGTCATTTACAGTACCCACGCTATGCCAATGCTCAACAACAGATGGCTGTACAACAGCAGCAACAATTTCATCAGTTTCAGCAGCAGCAACAACAGCAACAAAACTTTTTAAATAAAAAGTTGCTGGCACCCTTAACGTTGACTATGCCTTCGCCATCGCCTTCCCCCACACCGTCCACAAACACGGCCAGCACTTCTATAAACACTCAACAAGCACCGCCTCCGCCTCATAATATAATATGCTGTTCCCAATTGGATGAAGCAACCACGGCAGCCGCAGCAGCTGCGGCCACGTCTTCATCGACTTCAGGAATCATTGCTGGCAATGATTATGATTCAGATACCTCCTCCACACATTCTTCTGCACAACATAAATATCACTCCCTGAAATCCATAAAGTCGTCTATGTCCTCATCATCTTCGTCATCGTCTGCCTCTGCTACTTCAATGCCTCTGCAGCAACAGCAGAATTGTAGTCAGCCTTCGACACCAGCCACCTGTGGGCCAACTACTCCTCTACACAGTCCTTTGGATTATAATTATAGCGGCGCCACAGCTCACGCCTTTCCCAATCTACAAGTGACTCAACAGATAGCCCAACAACACACTTATAAATCGAGCAATGAAACTTCCCAGTTGCCGCAAATTTATGGTAACAATGGCAGCGGTGTCATATCACTTCTAAATATACCAACAAAGTCTCCCAGCAGCTATACAGAAGATGATTACCAACAGCATCAGCAGTTGGCACATCAACAGTTTTATTTCAATGCCGCAGCTGCTGGCCAAACTTCAGCCGATCACTTAAATATTGCTTCAGCTTTAACAGCTGTTGCCAGTCGTTCTAACACCAGCAGTGGTTACTGGAGTCCTTCGCACCACAACAATCAATTCTTATACCAACAGACGTCTTCGTCCCAAGTGGCATTGATGCCTGCAACAGCGTCATCCTCATCATCATGTGGTTCTTCGTCAGCTTCGATTTCACCTCGTTTGCCAAACGATGACTTGCAACAACCGCAAACACAGACACAATTACATCATAACTGTTGCATAACCAGCGCCAGTTCGTCGCCCTCTCCTTGCACTTCCTGCTTAAATGAACAGTTTAGTAACATAATCATTGGCAACAGTTCTAACGTTGATTCAACAATGTTGATGACCGGCTCAAATTCTTCATCCGTTAGTGGAACAAGTGGCATAAGTGTTAATTCTACAAATGGAGGACACAACTATAAAAGGGGGTAAGTCTTGAACACATTACCATAAACTTAACATTGCTCATTACTTGTTTTTTTATCTCGAAATTGTCCATATAGCTCGTCGCAGTTATTGACACAACAACAGCGTTTGATAGCACAACAAACATATCAATCCTCTTCATCTTCGACCTCCTCATTGTCCAGTTCATCAGCATCTACATTAACCAGTGCTGTACGAGCTCGTGGTGGTGGAGGAGGAGGTGGAATTAATACTAATAACAACAACGGCCGTAACAATCAAGTGCCACTGCCACAAAATTCACTTACTTCAACGGTTGGTGGCGGTATAACCGCTGGTGGACCCCAACAGCTGCCACCACCTCCACCCACACAACATTTCTATTCGCATCAACAGCAACAACAACAGCCATTACCACCTCCACTGCCACCACACAATCTACTATATAATAATCCTCAAACTCATCATATGCGTGCCTTAAGTAGTTCATCGATTAGTTCATCAGTGCATGACTTCTTTACACACACCCCGCCCGATCGTTTTTTGGCGCGGGCTCATCTTGTCGAAGCCAAAGAAGCACCAGCCACATTACTAAATAATTCCAAATGGGATAATCTTTCACAGGGTATTTGGAAAAAGTTTATCAACTCTCAACAAACTGAGGAAACTTTTAAGCAAAAAATGCGTTTGTGGCGTTATTTGTATCTGTTTATTAAGGTAAGAAAGAGGGACTTGAAACATTTTCATAATTGTTCATGAAATTTAACATTTTAAAAATAAATTATTTTTGAACATTTGTATTTTTTATATATATTTTTCCGATTTAGAATGCTTATCCTCGTTATGGCCTTTATTTGGTTGGCTCCACTATTTCCGGCTTTGGCTCAGATTCATCTGATGTTGATATGTGTTTAGTTTCTCGCAGTGCTTCCAGTATTGATCCTCGTATGGAGGCTCTATTTAATTTAACTGTATTACGTGATTGCCTTAGTAAATCTGGTAAGTTTAAAAGAATTGAAGGATACTTATATATTAGAAATATGTATGTTTATACAAAAGAAGATCTACATTTAATGGACCTGTCGCCGAATGTCTTTTATAAAACATATCTTGAACAAAATTCCCAAGACAAAAATTAATTGCCAAAAGATCCAATTTATTTTACATTAACTAGTCTTGCTCTGAATTTCTGAAAATTTATCTTTCAGGCATCACAATGGACCCAATTAGGGGCCTATTCGAAAATACATCACTGCGCTGCATTAGATGCGCAGTTCGTTCGGAAATGCATCACAGAAATTATGATGCGCAGATTTTAATTTCCACATCGCAAACAAATCATCAGATGCAATGCAGTGATGCATTTCCGAACAAGTCATAGTTCCAGAACGGGTTCAAACAGAACCACTTTAGATTGTTAATAAGCAACTTTTGTACTAATGATGCCATTAGTTGTGGGAATGAAACCTGTTGTGGGAATCACAGTTGCGATTATAAACTAATTCTAAAGACCTTTTAAATGAACCAGTTATTTAATACGAGTTACATAGTTACATATCAAAAGAATTAAAAATTATTCTCAATTAACTAGTTACAAAGGCACCTGATAGGACCCAAGTAAAGACTTACTCGTGTCAGTAAGCAGTCTGCTAAACCTACCTAACTAGTTCTAGAACGGTTGCAAACTGAATAACTTCAGACTTTTAAACGTAATGTAATTGTTCTCTACCGATTACCAAGAACTAGTTAAGTTATCTAGAACTTTTGGAGAATTTGAATGAAGTTTTAATGACAAAAACCCTGCGTTCTACAATTAGTTATGCCGAATCTGAATCTTAAGAAAAAGTACAACCAATTCCATTTTGTTCCAATACTTTGCGATTCAGAATTTGATCGTAGCTACGTTTATGTAAGTCATTTCCGGAGCATCGGATCGAAGTGCAGAATATCAAATATATGTACATACGTATGTATGTCGTACGGAGAAAGTTTCGATTTGATTTGAATGAATAGGGGTGAATAAAATTTTTCCGAGAAAGTTAACATCGATTATTTTTTATAGAAATTATCATCATATGATGAAATTTTGTTTATTTGTAGTCAGCTGATGTTGAGTATTTGACACACTTTACTATAGAGTTGAGTATTCATAAAAAACATATCACTCTATTATCCGTCTTGATTACTTATTATTCGAGTATTTGATACTTATGAGATGCTAAATATTTCACTAAATTATACTTGCTTTACTTTTTCTATGGGGAAAAACAAACGATTTAGGGTGAATTGTAATCTTAATGAAAAACAGTTTCAACATATTTATGAACATTTTTTTTAACTACTGACTACTCTATTTTTATGAATTGGTTACTTACTTACTTACACGTGTAACATCACTAGAATTTAGGTTTTTTTCGATATGTACATATTTAACATGTGGCAGAATTCTAAAAGTGTAGACTAGAGTAAATTGCTGAAAAAATGGAATTCAATTCCACAAAGGTAATACAAACTCAAACAGCAACCCCTAATTATTATTTAATCTTCTACCCAGTATGAAAAACCCTTATTTGTGAATGTTTTCTGTGTTTCTTTTTTTACTTAATGTATACATTCATTCATTCATTTCTCCTACCTGAAAAAACAATAATTTTAAATATCATAACACCAGCTGCTTTACCACAATTCAGTCTTTATTTAGCAGTTTACCTGATCATTACAATTTCTCATAAAAATTTGTGTAATTTTTACATTTTAGGTGAATTTGAAAATTTCAATTTAATTGAAGCAAAAGTACCAATTTTACGTTTTCGTGATCGCATACATCAGTTGGAAGTTGATCTCAATTTTAATAATTGTGTTGGTATTAAAAATACTCATCTTTTATATTGTTACTCACAACGTAAGTAAATGTTATTTTTAAACTTAAAAAAATTCTATTTAAATTATTTTATTTCTGTTTCATGTTTGTTCATGTTTGTCTTTATCGATTTAGTTGATTGGCGTTTACGTCCCTTGGTTTTAGTTACAAAATTATGGGCTCAATATCATAATATAAACAATGCTAAAAATATGACAATATCTAGTTATTCCTTAGTATTAATGGTTATACATTTCTTACAATATGCTGTGAATCCACCAGTATTACCTTGTTTACATGAAATATTTCCTGATAAATTTCCACTGGTAAGTTGAACAATTAATTTGATAATAGAAAAAAAACTGGTTCAAATATTAATAACAAAACTAATAAAAATCGCTGGAGAAAATCAACTTGTTTTAGAACTTTTCCTAAGAAATTGTATTTATCATATAAAGTTTCTCTAAAACTATTACTTAGGATGACAATTTCCACTACTACTAACTAAAGAACTGTTTCTAGAAGGTTCTCTACAACGCTTTTTCAGCAATAGTTGTTTATCCTACAGTTCTTTTACAAATCTTAAATCATTTAATTTTGAAATGTTTATTCTAGTTACGTTCAAATGATTTCGGTTATGTGGACATGAATGAGACTATAGGACCCTATGAGAGCAAAAACACTCAAACTATAGGAGAATTATTTTTATATTTTCTAGAATACTATAGCTGTTTCGAGTAAGTTTTATTTAAAAGAAACAAAACTAGTTTTTATTAATATTCTTTTAATTTTTTCTCCCAACAGCTATTCACAATTTGCTATTTCTGTGCGCACGGGAGGACTTTTGCCAATAAATTTGTGTCGCACAGCAAAATCTATTAAAAATGATATACATCAATGGAAAGAATTATGTATTGAGGGTAAGTAATAAATCAATATAAATATTTTGAAAAGAAACTTAAATATATCTACAGTGTAATATATAGTCTAGTCTATAGTCTAGTCTATAGTGTAGTCTATAGTCTAGTCTATAGTCTAGTCTATAGTCTAGTCTATAGTCTAGTCTATAGTCTAGTCTATAGTGTAGTCTATAGTGTAGTCTATAGTCTAGTCTATAGTCTAGTCTATAGTCTAGTCTATAGTCTAGTCTATAGTCTAGTCTATAGTCTAGTCTATAGTCTAGTCTATAGTCTAGTCTATAGTCTAGTCTATAGTCTAGTCTAGTTTATAGTTTAGTCTATAGTTAAGTTTATAGTTTAGTCTATAGTTAAGTTTATAGTCTAGTTTTTAGGTTAGTTTATAGTCTAGTCTATAGTTTAGTTAAGAGTCTTTTCTGCAGTATAGTCTATAATTTCAAAATTTTTATAAAAAACATTTTATTTAAGTATTTGTTCTTTATTGTTTTTTATATTAGAACCCTTCGATTTAACAAATACAGCACGTTCTGTATACGATTTTGAAACATTTGAACGCGTTAAGGCAGTATTTGTGGCATCATGGCGTATACTACAGGAAACATTAGATTTAAATTCGGTATTTTCACCAATTATCATACCATCTCCCTGCTCATCATCAGCAACAAGTGTTGTAGGTCATACAAATGCTAACACAACAAACACTACTACCACAACATTTAGTGAAATTGAGTCGGATAATGTAACCGATTCCAAAACAAATCTAGAGCAGTATGTAAATACAAATTCAATAATAAATAATTTTGTACCTACGACACCTAATAGTGCTGCTACTGCTGCTGCCGAAAACTATGAAGAAAATAATAATTCATCTATGGAAGAGGATGAGAATGAGCAAGGTGTGATAGATATCATTGATGATGACAACGAGGAGGTTGACAATAGTCTAAGTGCCACTAATAGCATAACTTTTACTCAAAAATTGTCAAAACGTAAGGATTTAAATCGTACTTTAACACCGCGTCAAAATAAGATTTATAATGAAAAAGACTTTCCCGCCACACTGTCACATAAACAAAAGCCACCAATGTCTCCTGCGTCTTCGTCTACATCTTCATTGACTTGTATTAAAACTAGTACAAAAAATGTTAATAGAAATACTAATAACAAAACTGCCACTCCCATAAAATCCTGAGTAAGGCATGTAAAATGTTTTGTGGTCCCAATATTTCCTTAACAATATATAATAATTCCCTCATGTACAACTGTAACAATCACAACAGCAGCATAAACACCATTAATATGACTATAAAGAGTCATCAACATTTAATGTAAGTTAATTTTAAATATTCAGTCATATTCCTTTATTATTTATTTAAATATTTATTTATTACAACATTCATATTAATATCCTTAATTATTACATACAATTATTATTATATATTTTTTTCTATGAAAATAATCGCCAAAAACAAACTACTCTCGGTTACTATTGATTTAATTTTATTATTCGTTTTCTTTGAATACTTGAATCTAGTCTTTTAAAATATTAACAATAACTGAATTACTACAAAAAAAAAAAAAAAAAAAAAAAAACAAAGACTGATATTTAATAGATCTATATGACATTAATTATATATAATATTTAAGATAATAAGGAGTGAATGTGTAGTGTGTGATGAAACAATGAAGAGAGTGTGGTACTATTGTTATAAAAAAAAAAAAACCAAAAACAAAAATTCTATAAAGTGCGTATGTGTTTAAGAATTCATTATTATATTTATTTTTAAAGATTAATATTTATTAATGATCTTGAAATATTTTATACCGAGATAAATAAGTTAAAAAAAAGAATTTTTTGGTGCATCTGCTTCCGATTTGAGTCTTTTAAAATGATTTCTTATAAACATCCCACTTGTTATCATTACTTTTTATATTGAGTTTTAGTTTGATTACGTGCTTCATATTTTACATTCGTAAAACATAGTTTTTATTACTTTTAGATTTTCTTTAGGTTCTGATAATCTTCTATTTGGAACTTATTCTAATTTAGAATTGCCATTAATGGCCATATAAGATCTAGTCCTTTCATTCTTGAAAATCATTTGCTTGTTTATTTGTTTACAGTTTATTATCCTTGAGAGTATCAAAACTGTTAACGTTAATGTCAGATTTATCCAGTTATATACTTAATGATCACTTCTGCAAAATTATCTTTGTCATTCTTCGAAAATATTAAATTTTTCAAATTTAATAATAGATTTTTTCTTTTTATTTCTTTTTACTTTTACCCAAAAAGCTTTCAACATACATAGCTCTCATATGCGCGGGAGCTTTATAAATTGAATATTATTGTTAAATTAACATTGAAAATTGATAAATAAGAACTTTTTTAAATTTGTCAAATTTGATAATAGATTTTTTCTTTTTATTTCTTTTTACTTTTACCCAAAATATTTAACAACCATAGATCCCATATATGCGGGAGCTTTATAAATGAAAAAAAAAATCCTAAAATAATATATTACTAACTAGGATATATGAAGATTTGATGATTTTTTCTTTTTATTTCTTTTTACTTTTACCCAAAATTTAACATGGCTCTTCATTTGTGCGTGAGCTCTATAACATTTTGTTAACATTTCATTTCAGAGAAATGTAACATATATTATTTATAATATTTTTAAATAATTTAATGAAAACTTTTTACTTTTACCAAAAAATAGTATTTATAAACTTATACATATATAACTCAGTTATAATAGACGAATATTATCAAATTAATATAATTTGATGACAGATTTTTTCTTTTTATTTCTTTTTACTTTTGCCCAAAATAATTTACTTACATAACTCCCATATTTGCGGGAGCTTTATAAATATATATACAAATTATAAAATATAAAAACTACATATAACTTATTAACTATAAACTTTCCACGTTTAAATTCGCTAATTTATTGGCTCACATCTCATGTTGGCCTCAAGGAATTCATTCGACAGTTATTGTCTCAGGTACACCATCTGAAAAAAAAACAATAAAAAAAACAATATAAGACACTTTTATAATACAAAAGAAGCAGCTCTATTCACAATTAATTTAAGCTTTCTTTTTTCATTACATATTTCTGAAAATATTAAGTTTCACACAATAAAAATTTAACACAAATTAAATTATATTTTGTCATTGCGGCGTTTTGTTTATAAAAAAAACTTATGGAAATTACTTTTCTTTTATGTATTGTGTCCGATTGCATTAGAGCAAAACGTAACAATACTGTTGTCATTGCATTTTATAAAAATTATGTTGCTGTTCATAATTTTGATGATATCATAACTGCCCCGAATCGTTTTTTTCATCTCCTTAGATTCGCGCAAAGTACTTCCAGGAATGCGGTTTTCCCTAATGGTTCCAGTGCCATACATATTATTTTTCTCCAAATTTTCTAACAAAGCAATGGAAGAAAAAAAAATGATCAAAGAACAAATGAAATTTATGTTCCTTCCATTTTGATCGCAAGGCGTCTGCGTACTCGAGTACGACAGATGTTCCAACACCCAGGTCCTTGTAGGTTTCACTAATATTTGTAGAAGCACCTTGGTAAGGCTCAAACCAGTTTATATATCTTTGACGAGTCGTACCTACCCAGAATTTGAAGCCATAACGAATTGGTTTACCATGAATATACTGCTTGCAACCATGTCTACCTGTGTACGGAACCATGGCTTCATCTACGCTGTGTTCCTCTTCAACATAAGCGTTGTCCATAAACTTTTTATTCAGATGCGCGAAAAGTGGCCTGACTTTGGCGAACTTATCAGAGGGATCTAAAAAGTTGTTATAATGGAAATGAATATTGGACAAAATAAACTCAAATTTGTTTCTTGCTATTGCTTGTGAAACTAGTTCATTATTAGAGTCTTTCGAGCGTTCCCAATACATTCTTCTTCTAGGCAAAGGAACATATCCGCTAAGCAAAATCACTCCAAGAAAGCATTTCATTTCGGTTATATTGACGCGCATGTTACTATTCTTTTGTGATGCGTACCGATTTGTCTCATCCGTAATTTTTCCTACTAGCTCATCATCAAAAAAAGTGCAAAAAAGGGAAGTTGGAGTTACCTCATCTAAGTTTATACCATAAATATTCAAAAAGATAAATTGATTTTTAAGTACTTTAAGTAATTCCTATGTGTGATTAAATTATGAACATTTGAAAAATTAAATTTTTATATAAGAATATGTGTAATTTAGAGACAGGGCTCACGCGTCTAACTAACCCGGCAATTCCCATACCCTCGCCAAAGGGAGAAACAATTTATTTTTATTCTAAATAGTAAAAATACGTCTAGTTTACACTATAAAAAAGTTCAAAATAAAAAAAATATTGGTAAATGTGCTTTTATTGCGGTGTCACCTATAGGTGACACTGGGCATAATTTATTAAATGCTTTGAATTTTACATTCGATTTAACAATAATTATATAATATTTTATTTGTTGTGGAATTTATACCAACATTTAATATGAAGGCCTATGTTGCATTTGGCACACATTTTTCTAGTGCGTTCATGACAAAAACCGCAGCGACGTTGTGAGCAATCCTGCTCAATATGGTCCTCTGAGCACCCTCCCAATCTAGTTTCATTTGAAACTCTCAACACAATGGGAACGCCACAATTGTTGCTCTTAGTTGGCTGCGTTCCGTATTTTCGCAAATATGACATCACGATTGCCCTACGGAATTCACAATAAGTCCAGCTGTTATCGCATTTTCTTTTGATGAGCCAAGCATTCTGGCAAGCGGCATCTAGTCCAAATGCAAAGAGAGGAAACCACCATTTTTTTCCACGTAAAGCTACTCTCATAGAATCAACATTCTCATCAAAGCGGTCTACACCACCCATATACTTATTATACATTTTTACAAGTGCTGGGCAATCGACTTGAATTTTTGTTCTATTTTTATTGATGACACCAATTCTATCTACTTTTGTGATTGGTGTTAGTCCGTGACAGTTAGAAGCAATGCTTACGATGCTATTGTCATGCCATTTAGCTACAATTATTTTTTCAGAAGTCTTGTAATCTATCTCTCCTCTTGGCTTCTTTCGCATATCTTTAACATTTGGAAGACTGCAATTTTCAAGGCGATTTTCTCTAATCGTTCCTGTTCCACCAATGTTATGCTCATGTAAATATTTAAGCAAAGGCAGACCAGTAAAGAAATTATCAAAGTACAGATTAAAAGGACCTAGTTCTTGAGGAAGTCTTGAGTGAAGCTCTAAAATAACTGCGGCACCTAGGCCATACTCTGACTGCAACTTCATGCTTGGACCACTTGCTCCTTGATATAATTCGCAGTTTACTAAATATCCTTGCGGCGTAGCTGCAGACCAAATTTTATAACCAAATCGTAATGGTTTCCCGTGAATATGTTGCTTTGTGCTATGTCTCCCGTAATATGAAACAATTGTTTCATCAATTGAAATATGCGATGAAACGGCCTTATCAAAATTGGTGGTAAAATTAGCAACAACCAACTCAAAGTATTTACGAACCTTGGCAAATTTATCATTTTGAGGCAATGCGTTACTATCACACAAATGTAAATATTGCTGTATTTCAAAAAAGCGATTTCGTCTTATACTGCTGGATACCAAATCATTGTACGTGTCCGCTTTTTTTCCCAAAACATTCTCATGTATTTTGGTGTCATATATCCAGTCAACAGTAGTACAGCAATATAAACTCTAATTTCATTTTCGGTTACATTCAATGTATGGTTCCGCTGTAGAGCATACAAATTGCTCATATCTGCAATGAGGCTTATTACATCTTTGTTGTACAATAATTCAAAGCAATCAGTGACACTGATATCTTCTTGAAATGTGCCTAGAATATCTTGATCGCTGTCCCCTTTACCGCATGAAGAAAAAACTGAAGTATTTTTTGACCACTTTTTTACCGTAAGTTCTTTCTTTTTCTTCTTCGGGACAGGTTCCTGGTCTGCAATATGTTCTGAAACTTGTAGCGCGTCTTGATCCACTTCATTATCTTCTCTGTTGGGTCTAGTTTGCACTTCAACCTCTGAGCGCAACATTCGGCTAGGAAGGTGAATGAAATTGGTATCATTTTCATCTCCACTGTCTTCATCAGTAACCTCACCATCCTCAGGAGGAAACAATATGATGTCACCAGGGTCGTCTCCAGCCTCTAGTATTTGTACAATTTCGTCCAAGTTTAATCTTCCATAAAACATAAAAGCAATAGTCAAAATTTTGCAATATATAAAATTTGTGGTATACATGTATGTATAAAACCCAGTGTC